AGTGTAATTCAGAGTATTTTTATGGCTTCATCTCTGAAGAGCTTGTCTATGCACAGTCTGGAACTGAAATGACTGAAATTAGAAGTAATTTAACACCTTAAGTTATTTTAGTATGCGAATATACTCTTTCATTTCTGATTATGAGTATCCTATTTCAGTTTAACATAGCTGTAAGTTAAATCAAAACAGGATATGAATAATCTTAAAGGAGTAAATTAGGTACAATTTTAGTTATTTTGGTTCTACCCTTGTGTGGATACATAACTTATGCCTGAGTTAGGGTCTTTCTTGGCACTTTATTGTATTATAAATCATTTGTCTCAGGCCAGATGTTGGTAGAGATGCCCATATCAGGAAGATCATTTGAGGCTTATTATCAACTTTTGGGAGAAGTGTCCATGTGGAGGTTGAAGGGCAAATGAAAGTAGAAATCCTTCACTTCTGGATTCTGCTTCTAGGAGTCAGTGGAGTCAGAGAGAGTGGAGTTTTTTATGTCACAATTAGGAAAATATACTGTCAGGCTAATGTCCAGCAGAATGAAGTTTAATTAAAAAGAAAACGTTAACACCCAGTGACAAGAATTGCTGCAAGTACGGGTCTGGCTGATGTACAGGTTAATGGTGAATTACACTCTTAACTGTAAGCATGCTAAAGATACTCCTGATGATAGGAAAAATGAACTGTAGTTTGAAAAAAATTCAGTGGGTTTGAGCAATTTTACCACCTGTCCCTCTGCAGATTTTTGCAGTTATAAAATCAAATTCTGCTTCTCCAACAAGATATTTCTCTTTGGGTCATGAAAAAATTACCCAAACATCACCCAGATATTTTTCTAAAAGAGGCTGTGGTGAGGTTGTTTTAAGGGATTTCAGGGAATCTCTAAACATAAGTCATCTGCTTTAAGATGGGTCAGCCACTACATTCTAGCTGGTAAAAACAGTTGTTCCAACAGGCTGAAAACATTTCCCAAATAAATGACTTACTTATTTCACTCCCTAGAATTTTACTAAAATTTAATTTTTTTTTCCCTCAGGGACACTGCCCGAGTATTGACTCAAATTCAGGTGCATAACTGCATTCTGAGGGTGAATGTTTCACACCTTGCCTTTATTTAAGACTTGGGAGCTTTCCCCCAGGGTTTAGTTGAAGGTTACAGGACTGGAAATACTATGTGGAAGTGCAGTTTTAGACAAAACTTCACTGCTGAAGCTCCTGAGGCTCTGGTTGACCTTTTAAAGGATGGGGATGCACAGTTACCTTGTGTGCATGGAGAGCATGTATGTAATGTATTTAAGCTATTAATATCAGACAGTATGGATGCAGAACTTCAAAAAGTGGGCTCTTTCTCAGAAGTAACCTAGACGTCTGGTTTTAATGTTGTTCAGCAGGAACTGAAGGAGGAAAGGTAAAAACCTTTAATTCAAGATATTTCTGAGAAGACACGGTCTTATCTAATAACAGCACTGAACATATGCTATTTTTTGAGGCAGATTTATGCTGTGAAAGCTGAACTTTATTTCTTTCTTAACAGTAAATTGATGCTCAGGAAGGAGCAATAAGAACTTAGACTCTAGAGAGCCTGCTGAATATTAGCAAAATTAGTGCTCTGTTCTGATGTGTTTGTGGAGTTTGAAATAAAAGCACAAACTGCCATTTCTGTATGTTGCATGCATGTGTGAAGTTTAGAACGTATATATTCATAGGTTCCCTTTCTTTCCCCCTTCCCCTTTTAACATGTAGATTTATGAGGAATCAAAGATGAACTTGGAGCAGGAGAGGCCTTTTGTCTGCAGTGCCCCAGGCTGCTCACAGGTGAGTGGAGTCAGCGGTGATATTAATTGAGTCCTCAGCACTAGCTCTGGCTTGTATAATGCCTCCTGATATATTAACACATGTCTAATAATAATATGTGTGTCAGGGGTTTCTTTGTGGGTTTTTTTTTTAAGACCTGCTTCCCCTCAATTCTCTCCTTTCCCACAAGACACTGTTACAAAATATTTCAAGCAAATACTGCAGCCAGTCAAAAGCGAGATGATACAAGTGCTCCTCAAGCTGCTTCTGTGATTTTTCTCATCCCAAAGCCTAATGTTTCAAGACATGTATTGCAGATTCCTTTAGGGACTATCAAGAGAGGACACACTAGGTAGAACACATTTATCTGTCTTCTGTTGAGATGTATAATGGAATATGTTGCTATTAGAAGGCCCTAACCCTCCTGCGGTTTTCTTTCTATTTTAAATACTTAAATACAATGATATCTTATTAGGTGATTTTTATTTATTTATTTATTTATTTATTTATTTTTAGTCTTTAAGACATCTTCCTACTAAATATTTTGTGTGCAACCTGTAGATAAATTTTGCCCAAGGGTGTGCATTTGGGATTCCTGTCCTTTTGACTGGTGCTCTGCCATATGTCTCCAAGGGCAAAACCTGACTTGTAACATTAGATGTTTAATGAGCTTAAAAAAACCCTGAAGTGACAAGGATTTTACCTGCTGAGATTTGAACTGGGGTGTGTGTGGTTTTTTCAGTGATTTTGCAGTGGTGAGGGAAGTTCCCCCACACGCAGTGATGAGGGAAATTCCATGTGTGGCACTTCTGACCCTAATTTGTTTTAGTAACAAGAGTTTGTGAGTAAAATCTTCAGACAAGGTCATCTTTTGGGCTTTTGCCATGGGCTTCCTGTGTGCATCCATGACACATGATACAGCTTACCCATTTTCCAGAGTCCTCCTCTCTTAATTAGTGAACCTTTCCCTGTTTCAACTGTATGTTGGGAGTTTTCATCTGGGTAAGATATTTACAACTCCTTAGGTTCTACTGGAAGAGGGATGGGTGACTGTTAACGAAGTGTAGGTGTTGATTTTGCCAAGAGCTGAAATAAGGAGAGGCAGAAGCCTTCAGTCCAGTTAACAACTGGCTGAGTGGCTTTGCTGTTTCACTACGTGGGAGTTTTTCCATGGGAGGCAGAGTGCATCTTTTGGATTATCCCTCAGGCTGAGAATATGTCCCTTTAGATTTCCACATTCAGAGTTAAACTTTCACCATTCTGTCACAGACGTAGAATAGAAGTATCTGAGTTTAATTGTGATGTTTATTTACCTTTTTGATGAAACTAAATTCCACTGAAATCAGTGGACTTGAGTGTTTTCATGTCAACTCTTAATTAGTTTCCTCAGTGGAGGAGAAGCTGATCCAGACAAGCTCTTTTAGGTGTTCAGAGAGCAACTTTGGTTGCATGCTGTTACAATTTGGAAAGATGAACAATGTAGATGTAAATTCCATCTTAAAAAACATTTGACTTCCCATTCCCCAACATGACCCCTGTTTGTAAAAAATGAGGACTTGCCACAAGTGCATAATGCAGAGCTGCTGTCCAGCTAAGCTGGCTGGGGCTTCTCTCCTAGCCCCTGCAGATGTGTGCTGAGGGCTGATGGAGTCAACCTTCTGCACAAGGAATAAAGTAGACTTAGAAAAAAGACAGAGAAGTCTGGGCTGGAGGAACAGTTTCTCCTCTGTTGCCACACACCCTGTTTAAGCTGCCTGATTTCATCATGAAGAGAGAGTGTGGCATCCATGAAGGAAAATCCATTTTCAGGAGAAATAAATGTGGGGTTTTTTCACCCCCTTCATGATTTCATTGAGCAAAGTCTTTCTCAGACATTCCCCTTGTTCTTAACATAAATTCCTAATGCTGCATTTCTTCCAGATGAGTAAGCAGTGAACCAGGATTTCACAGTGAGAAAAAGGTCTTTGGGATTTCTTTCTTTTCCAGTTTTTTTTTTTCATTTTTTCCTCCAGAGAATTCAATTCCATTATTTATGCTGCTTTGTCTACGGGTTTAGAGAGAGTCTCAGAAGGTGTAACATATGGCAATTATTTATACTTTAGCCACAAGCAAAGTCACTTAGCCAAGAGTATACTGTGTTGAAACCATTAGGTCCCTTTAGCTCTGTTGTTGCCATTGTTTTTTGTCTCCTATGTACCTGTTGGTTTAAAGAGCTGCTTTTAATTTTTTTTTTTCCTCAAGCCTTGGTGATACTACTTTTGGCTTTTGGTAGTCCTGAAATAACCCAGTTGAAACCTCTCAGTAGCAAAGTTCTGTGTATGCACATTCTGGTGAAGGAAACTTCACAGAGCCATTCTGCTGTTTGAGCCCAAATGTGCAAGTGCTTGGGAGTTTATTCAAGCTTGTCTCTTCTTTGTTTTGTTCAAAAAAAGTTATTTCTGTTAGAAGTCTGTAATCAGATTGTAAAACAAACTTAGCACACATTAGTTTCTTACAAAAAACATCTCTCCACCTTCTCTGCTTGACAAAGGAGAATAATTTGATTTAGTATCATAAAGGGTCATAACTAGCTGCTATAAAACTGTGCACCATTTAATTGCCACTTCAAATCAAGTCAAAGTATCAGATATTTCCAAAATTAAAGACGTGTTTTGCCTGAATACTTTTGGATAGAAAAAAAGCTGGCTTATTTAGTTATTTTTATAGCTGTTCATCAGATATATGTTGCAGAAAGACACAAAAGCAGAAAAATCCAGTAAAGTGATTTAAGATTTGCCTCATTACTTAGCATTTGCCGTGGGCTAAGAGTATACAGAACAGCAGCTATTGCAGATGCTCAGGCACGTGGTGACTTGTGGGGCTGTGGTAGCTGGAGTGGGTGTCTGAGACCCTTAGAATCTTAAACTTGGACTGTAATTTTTTCCAAGCAGTTGCATGACACCTTACGGTTTGTCACCCCAGAGAGCACGGCAGCAAATGTGTTTCTAAATCAAGTACAGCTATTTGTTACTCATACTCACTTGTATTTTCAAATATTCTGTTTCCTGTGCCATTTGGACACATTTCTAGCTGGATAAATTTCTTTCTGTCTCTCATTTTTGAAATTCTGTCCAATGCCAAAAGTTTATTAGAGAATTAAATTCTTCTTTTTTTTCTTTTTTTTCTCTCTTCCTCTCTCTCTTTCTGTGTTTGCCTGACAGCGTTTTCCAACAGAGGATCATCTGATGATTCACAGGCACAAACATGAAATGACTTTGAAGTTTCCTTCAATAAAAACAGATAATATGTTATCAGGTAAGAAGACATGAATTCAAGAGTCGAGATAACTATTCAGATGATGTTGAAAGCATGACTCCTATTGGAAAGCTACTGGCAAAATCACTCCAAGATTGGTTTTAAAAAGCCTCAGCTCCAATTAAATAACCAGGAGAGGTGGATTGAGCTAGAATGCATATATTTGAATAAAAAGACAGTTGCCATTCTTCTGCCTTCATATAAGTTTGCCATGAGAGGGAAAGAAATCATTGAACCTCGGGCATGCTGGCAGCTCTATCATTGATTTCCAGTGAAATACAGGCACTTAAGCATGTGTCACTTGGGAGCCCAGCAGTGAGAGTGTTAATGAAGTACATTTGTGCTGTTGCTGGAAGAATTGCTATTTAGGCTGGACAGACTCCCTTCAGCAACTGGAAGAGGCCACATTGTGGGAGCCACCTGTGCGGTGACTCAGGAACTGCCCCCTGTAAATAGCCATAACCAGAAAGGTGAACAAGTGGGTGATATCCAGTGCTCTTTCCCCATCTCTCTCTGCACTTCCCCCTTCATAGGCAGGGTTATTTGGTATTAGGTACAATTGTATCCTATAATTTCTTGAGTAGTATATTTCTTATGCAGTCTTTCTGTGCTCTTCTCTGTGTAACCACATATCAATGGCTTGCTGGCCTTCAGCCAGTGTTGGGTAAAGTGAAGGTAGCCCTTCATTTTACTTCTTTCCTCTCCTATTCCCTTTCCTATTGTTCATTCTTTGGGCTGTAGTAGTGGACTATTTAGAATAGTATCTCTAGAATTTTTCAGGTTTCAAAATAATGATAGAAAACCCCTCTGTGATGCAAATGTGTGTGTGGATGTTCAGTAGTGTTTGATATCTGTCTTTTGCAATAGGCTTCTTCAAGATAAATTGTGCCATTTCAGATGCAAATGTATATTTATTAAAGGGACTCCAGCAGGCTAACTATTTTCTGGTTAAACTGTTACCATTTTTATGAAAATCATAATGAAGTAACAATGGCTTGCAAATATTTAGGGTTTTTTTTGTTTGGGTTTTTTTCTTGGAACTTTAGGCACCAATGAAAAGTTAGACAGCCTTTTTCCCAAATAAAATTTATTTTGCTTTTCATTTTTAAAATGCCATAGTGGACTAAGTTTAGAAAGAAACAGTACATGGCATTTTGAAGACTAGGTCTTGTAAAGTGCCTGAGTGCCAGCTATGCCCACAGAATCCTGTGTTTGCAAGCACAAATGAGGAAAAGCTTCTTTTGCATTTGGCTGCGTCCTTTGGCAGTGAAACTGCTCGAAGACATCTGTGCTGTGGGCACATTAGCCCTGTGCAAGTGCTGGCTTTTGTTAAAACTTTCTGTTTGGCAAGAACTTTTGTTTGAGTGCAGTTTCTAAGGAATCTATTCTGTCATCAGGAATCCCCTGAGCAGAGTAGCTCCATTTATGTTTGGTAACTTCTGTGATTTAGCCATCCTTCTCCTTGCAATGGGTTGCTTTCCTAAGCAAAAACAATGTCTGTCTTCCAGCACTGCCACTGGTACTGGGCCCCTAAACCTGCAGTTAGCCAGCTGTACATACTAATGTGGAATTTTCTGGCCAGAAAGACTCTGAGATTGCTTCTAAGGGATGCATTCTTTGAGGTTTGTTTATGATGATCCTGTGTAGTAGTGAAAGAATAAAAAGACACATGTGCTCCCAAGGACTGTGGCCAATGTTCCTGACCATAATGCCCTGGCAAATTGGTTCTGCTGGTGTATTGATTCCTCTTTTTGTGTTTGTTTGCTGAATTTGTTTGGCATTTTGCAGTCCTTACTCAGGAAGCATCATAGATCATCTACTCTCTGCAGGAAGACATTGAAAAATAGTTGTTTCATTGCCCACTGAAACCCTGGGGAAATCTAAATACCTTAAAGTTTAAGATGTTTTATTCTTAGATTTCAGAATGAAAAATTAATGATAAATGGGGAAAAGAGACATACTTTTCTCTTAGACATTTGTCTTCATGTCTTCCTTGTTTTTTGCATTTTTGCTTATGTGACTTTTTAAAAAAAATGTTCCTGTCATCAGTAGGTTCAAAGAATTGCAGCAGCAATTGCCCTGTAATAAGCCAGGTGCAGTGTTAGTTTTCCCCCCCTCCTCTTTCTCCTAAGCTGCCTAGAAGTCAGATTTCCTAATTTTTTTCCAGTATGTTGTGTACTATCTTTTAATTTGTTGTGCATGATCCATATATTATCAACAATTAGTCATGAAAAATAACACACTGTATGCTTTCAGGTAGACATTAAAATTATTTACCCTGTTTACAGAGGTGGCTTAATCCACAGTCTGGGTTCACTATAATATCAGTAATATTTAACACACATTAAACATGTTTTCTATAAACTGTTCCTGGAAGTAGGCACTGAAACTGTTGATTTTGTACAAGACATCTTAGAAACTAAGCAAAATATGACTTGGGAAGAAGTAACTTGTTTTTTGGGTGAAATCTGTGTTTGGATCTAAAATATAAGCTTCTAAGGGAGAGGTAAAGTTATGTTATATGTGAAGTTATATGTTGTTATGGAGGTGGGGTCAGTGTCTAATAAACAATGGTGCATGACCTGATTGCAGCAATTGGTGCTGTGCTGGTTTACCAGGTATGTCTTTCCAGGAGCTTCCAAGCTATCAACTAGCTTCACTATGTTTTCTGCCTTTGTTTTCATGCTGGCTTAAGAAGAACAAGTTATATTAAATCTGTTCAACCAATCTCTTGTACCAATTCAGAAACTCCAGCTACCCATGTACACCAAACTGCTTTCTGTTCTCTGAATGTATAAATGGAAAGAAAATCCACTAGAGGCATTGCACTGAAATGCAAGTGATACTTTTGTTGCACAACTTGACAATACAATTCTGTCTTTTAGAATTAATTGTATTTGTTCCTCTTTGTTTTATATATTTTATTTTTGTTTGTTAGAAAGTCTTGTTAAGAATATGGATAAAGAGTCATTGGTGTTTTCCATTTCCATCTTTCCAGCTAAAAAAGAGCTGTTTGAGATAACACAGGATATCTTATGTAAGTTTTGCATGCTAGTCACCATTGCAGGCCACTTTATAGTTAAACTGACTGAAATAGATATCAGCTCTTTGCTGTTGTAGAGTGAACAGTGTTTGCATTGCTTTGAAACTCTACATTGTGTTGTGTGACAAAGCTTTTGTGTTTAAACACCAAAATATTAATGTCTGTAGAATAGATTGCTTCCTCCAGGGAAATAATAAAAGCCCTGTGGGACTGAACTTTGGGAGCTGGGGATTATCTACATAGAAACCTTTTTTCCTTCCTCATTCTATTTAATGAAACCAAATCCTCTAGAGTTTTGGTGATAAAGCCCACTGTGGAGGTAGAAACAGTTTTCTCTAGATGGAAGAAGTGCCTGTAATAAAGGAAGTGCAAAGGTATTCCTTTTCCCAAGCAATGCCTGTGATAGTGAGGTAATTTGCATCCCTCTTGGTTGCCTTAATTTTTCCCTCCTTGTAGTTTACACAGAGGGGTTTATCTAGGCATGAATTTTGAGGTGTGCGAAATGATTGGGTGTGAGGACTCATAGTGTAGTTTGTTTTCTTGCTTGCTTCTGTGTCCCTCGCTTTATCAAAAATGAAATTAAACATTTTCTTACATTTACTGTTCAGTTTCAGAGTGACCAGAAGACTTTAAAAATTGGTTGTACCCAGTATGTTTATCCCTCCAGGAAAGTCCAACCAGCACTTTAAAGAGTACATATTTAGGCAGTAAAGTTCTTGGTAGCCCTCGTCTGGGTGGGAGCAGTTTCACCACCTATGTTTGGGTGCACTTCTTCCTCTCCTCTTTCTCCACCTGGTTGTTGTGTTATGATGTTGAACTCCTAAGTGCACTTGGGTGGAAACCTGTGAAATCAATGAAGAAACTTTTCTAAACTTCTCAGGACATTCCTCTGTCTTTGTGGCTGCTTGATGGGCAGCCCTTCAAATTTCTGTGCTAGCCCCATTACTCTGACTTTGTTATCATTGTATGAAAGCACAACATGGGCAAGTGTATAACTTCAACAGAGCCCACAGCTGAACAAGCCAAGTGTCTATTATTATTGCACATCAGACTAAACAATTTTTTTTTTGGAAAGAAAAATGAAGAATCAAGTTACACACTTTGCAGCTTGGCTGTTAGGTATCTTTCACCAAATCAGATTTTTTTTCTTTTTTCTCAAAATGAAAGCTTGTTTCAAATAAGTGTCCTTTGATTCTCCAGGGCTTTTTTAAACTGGTAGCATGCTTTAAAATTTCCTTTTGTGTTTTGAGGGATGAAATTCAGGAATTCAAGGTAATTTTACAAAACACATTCTGGATGAATCAAGTAAGTTTCTGTATAGCAAGCTAATGTTGTATTTCCTTAGCTGTTGTTTTGAAAACAATGTATTGAGACTGAGTGTCCTTTCTGAGAATATTATTTCAATCCCCACTCCCCTAAATGAACAACAACAAAGAAACCCCCATGTATTGCCAAACATTGTGAGTACATAATGGAACCTTTTGACTTTGTTGAAGACTACAAGTTCCCCATTGCCTTAACACACGTGTATTTTTTATGAGTCTGAAAAATCAGGTATCACTTCAGACATTGAGGACAGGTATTCAAAAGTCAGCAAGCAAAATATACACAGTATATGAAAGTCTGGCCTGAATATGATTGCTGAGTGCATCTGAAATCCCTTCCTGTCAGAAACAGTAGGTTAACTTGGGATCATATTGGCTTGCTCTTGGCTTATATATTGTCCATTTACTTTTTTGAGACTTATTTAAACTTGATGTTTCTTGCAGCCTTTGTGGTCATGGCTGTGTCATCATAGAGGCTGATTATTCCCCTGAGTAATAGGCTGAACAATATTTTCATGGCCTAGTCTGAATCTGTGTTTAGGCTGTTAATGAATTTGAGATAGAAAAAAGTTCCTAAATAATTATCAGATGACAGGTTTACCTATGAAGTGACAGATGGCTAGAGGTAGATGCCTCAAAGGACAGTAAACTGCTTCTAGAGGATGGAACTAGTTGAGGATGGAAAGATTTTTCCCTGTTGAACGTTGGGATAGCTGATCAGTATCTTGGGTTAACCGAGATAATCCTGTATCCCAAGCTGCCAATACAAAATACAGTTTGTGACTGATATTAGAGCCCTGGGTTATGTGAGCAGCAGTGTGCCTGCAGAGCAGCTTCCTACATAGTGTGTGTCCTCAGCAGGAATGCTGAGAGTGGTGCTGGCTCTGTCTGAGTTTTGGTCCAGATGGGTCTGGCTCCTCCAGTTGCTGAAGTGCAACAAATCAGGGCCCTGTTCTCAGTGAGTCTGCAATAGTTGTGGGCGCTGGTGATAGCAACAAAAGCTTTGTTTGTACCAACAGGGAACAATGAGGTCAGGCACAAGCTGTTGGAACTATTAATGCATTTTTAAGTGCTGAGAATTAGGAATATTTTATTAATTCTGGGAGACCTGATTTTGTAGCTTATGCTAGGGTGTCCCTTGTGATACTCCTCCCAATTAAAACATAAAGGCTTGCTCAATCTAGGTAAGAGAATTTCTGTGGTGTTGAGAGTGATTTCTTCTACTAATTTGCCCACATCCTAAAGGAGAACTGGTGTTTAGCAGAGACAAAATATTTGGTTGCTTGGGAGCAAATCAAGCTCATTAGACTTGGGAGTCTTGAAATCCTGAGACCAATGAGTGCAGTGTATGTGCAGTGTAACTACTTTACTACACAAAGTCTTAAGATTTTAAAGTCTGGATCTGTATCAGTTCTGCCCTCACAAAGACAGATGTTTTGTGACCTTCTGGTTCCTGTGAATGTTGAAGGCTGAAGTATTAGAACTAGGAAGGCAGGTCTTGTTTTACATCTGGCTGAGCTGACTTCCAGGAGGTCTGTGGATGAAGCTTAGGCTGGCTGGTTGGTGGTGCTCCTTCCTCAGTTGGGAGAAAGGAGGGGCTGTCTGTTTTAACAAAAAATCTTGATGTGAATTCCTGCCAGTCTGATTTCTGGAACATAGGAACTGCAGTAGTAGTATGGGGTGACTGAGGTAGTAAAATAAGATCACCATTTCGATATGTAGGTGGTGTAAACAGTGTCATTATCAGTTTTGATCTTTTGAGATATTAAAATACTCAATTGGAAAGTTCAGCTGTAGGTAACATCATTGGTAATCTTGTGGTGCAGAAGACAGATTTTCAGCATGAGTGGAGAAAGGAAGCCATTGAGGCCCTTGTGCATTTGAAGTCACATTCTTACTCTGGCTTGCTTTTTTCACTGTTAAAATGGATTTACTTCAATGTGATAACTTTCTTTTCTTTTGGTCAGTTCTGGGCCCAAACAACTCTGAAGAAACCCAGAATTTTTGGTTCTAGTAAAAGTAGTGGCATCCACTTTATGAAACCATATTTTCTCATTTTGGCCATGAAATTGATACCTTGCTTATTTGATGTGGCTGTATCACTTCTAACAATAAAACATTTCCTCCGTTTACCTCACATTCAGATACTAACGTGCCCTTTGTGTCCAGGAAGGCTTAGTGACAATTGTCTTTGATTTTCTACAAAAGAATGGTGTTTTTCACTAAAGTAGCATTTAATCCTTTTTGGAAATTAAATCTATTTCTCCTGCATTTTAGTGCCATTCATTTCCAGCACAAGCTCCAGTCCAAGGGCCAAAACCAACCCTGGTGTAAATCTACTGAGTTTACTGAGGTTACTTCAGAGATTTGTTTGGCACTGCTTATTTAGGATATGGACCTGTAAAGGGCCAAGTGTCCTTAGCTCCCATCAATGCCAGCACCTTGTTGACTCATCTCCTTGTGCTGAGTTCTTGCAGGATTCTTTGAAAGTTTTGTTTCTAACTCTGGTAATACAGTAGTTAGCTGTGAAAGGTAATGGATAAATAAGTGTGCATTCCCAAATACTTGAAGTTTGTTTCCTTTATGTTCATAAGCAGGATGCTCAAGCCAAAAGAAATGAAAAAAGAATTTTAACATTAAGGACTTGCATTCTGATGTTCCATCAGAAATATGAATGTGAATGAGTGTCTTTGCCCTTGGATTACCTGGAAGTCAAACCTGGAGGACCATGCTTGATACAGGTGGAAATTGCCTTCTCCTGGCTCTATAGTGGAGGAGGCTGATCCTCTTCCTTAGTTTCTAAGTGAAAACTGCATTTTCTTTTGTGCACCTTGCTTTCGTACTGCTCAATTAAGGGCTGATGTGCATTTCTATCCTGATCATGTAAAATTCATGGTGTTAGGTAACTGCTGAAAGGGGGTAATATTAGAACTTGACCCAGCTTAGGTAGGTGCAAGAAAGCAATTTTTTCTGTGTTGAAGTGGGAAGCTTTCTCTGAGGTCAGAATTGACCCAATATAGGCAACGGGGTTTAATATGACAGAGTTTTCATTCTTTAAAGAATGAAATGCAAACAATAGGTAGTAGTCAAGGACTATGCTGAAGATTATTTTTTAACAAAGTGAGTCCAATCCTTCTGTCAAATCAAGTACAAAGCAACTTGAGCTGGGACAGAGCCCTGGAAGAAGGAGCCAAGATGGAATAATTAAGAACTAGACTCAGAATGAATAGAGATACTTCAGACCTGTGCTTTGGGGAGTCTTTGGTTGCCAAATTTGGGCTTGATTTTTCATTTCCTGAAGAATGAAACTGAAGTCACTGAAACTACAGTCTGCATGGCAATTTTGCTTGTCTGTCTTGCAGGTTTTTGAAAAGGTATCAGAAAACCTTGCAATTTCTTCAGTCCCTCCTGCCTGTGGCATTAATGAGAATCCTTAATGTATTAATTCTGAGAGGGCAGAAAAATCCTAGAGATGAAGGCATTGAATTTTTTTTTACTCCAAATTTAATGGTTTTGCATGTATTATCAACACTTCCAGGTATAAAATGCAAAAGGATGCTTCTTCATGGCCAGAATGTCACTTTTCGTAGCTTTGCAATATGTTATTTAACTCTTCCTTCAAAAATTGTGCTGGAAGCAAAACTTCTTGCCATGGCTACCTTTTTTGCTAGGTATGTGTATGTTTGAGGTGGTTTTTGAGCACTTGAAGGCATTAACTAGTGTGTATCCACAGCAGTTATCATGCATGCTGTGGTCTGAATGTGCATTACGAGATGCGCTGTGCATTGTTCTGCATGAGACTATTTTTGGAGATTTATAGAGAGTTCTAATGACCATTTATACATGTTAAGGAGATGCACTTGTGTTATGTGCCCTGCAAAAACCCATGCTGTTGTCTTTCTACCCAAATGATGACTGCTGCCTAGTTTTGGACATTGATGGCAAGCATGGCTGCCTGCAGCGTTTAGTGTCAAAATTCAGTACTGTGTGTTTTTTTTAATGATGGTGTGGTAGGTAGGGGTGGGAAGGCAAAGAGAAGTTTGGTTAGAACCTCTCTTTTCCTGGAAGTCTATTTCATTGTCTCCCTCTCCTTTTAATATTGAGCACCAACAATCATTTCTTGTCTTGTTCTCAGATCAGACTCCCACACCAACGCGCTTTCTGAAGAACTGTGAGGAAGTCGGCCTCTTCAACGACATCGACTGCTCCCTAGAGCACGAGTTCAGGAAGGCACAAGAAGAAGAGAACAACAAAAGGGTGAGTGTGAGCACACCAAGCCCTTCCTCCCCTTTTGATTCCTTGAAACAGTAAGGGAATTGTCCTTTAATCTGGGAGAAAGCAGACTGAGCTCTACTACCTAGTAGTAACCTGTTGGTTAGAAACTAGGTGGCACTATAAATTGAGACATGCTTTTTAAAACTATTGAAGCAGTTGACAGAAATAAAAACCCCAAACCAACAAAAAACTAGTATTAAATAATAAAAAAAAAAGTGTAACTGTGTTTGCCAGGGTTTGATTCCAAGTCTCTGCTTTTAAGTAAACTATAACACAAACCACACACCTCTTGACAGAGAGGCTTGGGAAAATTATATCATCTTTGAAGGGAGGATTGCAAACTGGCTCAAATATGTTACAGGGAAATTTGGCTTATGAAAGGGCATTTACTTAAGAGCAAATTTTTTTCTTTTTATTTTTTAAAAAATTTCTCCACAACACGTTGCGCCCTTGGATTTATTCATCATCAATACCAGCTTTATTGTGTTTCTGTACTTCTCATAAAATTGAGCTTGGAAACTTTGACTTGAAACATCTAGTAGATAACATATCCCATTTTCAATTAGTATTCTTTTCGTTTATTCTTAAGTTATTCTGTGAGTATTCTGAGCTTTAGGTTGAATTATATAGGCCACCTTCTATGTAAGTGTACTCCTGTACCCAAAGACAGTTAAGAGTGTTTTCAGAGATCCTAAAGTGCTGTTAAAATTTTCAAAGAATGGTAAAAGAGCTTAATGCATGAGAGAGGCCAGCAAGAAAAGAGGTGAAGCTGCATGCTGAGGTGCAGAACAGGAGAGGAGGCTTGTAGAAAGAGAGGGGAGTCCAGGAGCAGCTTGGTTTTGGCTTACAAGGAAGGGAGTCAAGGTATTGCTTATTTGTGGTTCATAAAGAAAGAGACTGGGACAGATAGAGGAGGAGAGGGGCTGTGTCATGGTATGCTGAGCAAGGAATAAGAGTGTCCAAACGTGAGGGAGTTCAAATTTTGGGAAAATAGCACAGATTGACTCTCACAGCTTTGTGTATTAGGAAACAGCCATGCATTGAGATAAATTGTCTAATTTTAGACTTGTTAAAAAATTTGCGGTTTAGGTTCTGCTGAGGGGAGTCTTAGTTAGAATCAGGGAGAACATTTCTGTACATTCCTACTTCTTTGCCATTACAGGATTTTTAAGTTTTTCTCTGTGCCTGGTGTTTATTTTGCAGGAGTAGGAGACCAGGAGAAATCTACTGAGGTGGACCTGAGTGCAGCTAGCCCCAGACTGCAGGGCTTGATGTTGCAGAGAGATTTCAGTTTGTGAGGGATAGTTGCAAACTCTGATTAAAACCTAGACAAGGGCATCAAGTTACCTGATAATTCCAGCTGTTTAGCAGTCTCTGGGAGTCTTATTCTGCCCTCCTACCAACCCCTGCAGCTGCCATTGGTGATCTCCGGGGAGCAAATAAATGATCACGGTGGTGGGAAATTAAAAAAAAAAAAAGAAAGAAAAAAAGTAATGAAAAAGGAAGAAAAGGAAAGAAAAAGAAAGGGGCATAAGTCCCACTAGCTGGCTAACCTGTAACATTTACTCTGTGTTTCCAATTAGTCTGCTGTATGTTCATTCTTACATTACTGACTGATTGTCAGATAGGAATCTGAAGCAGGCCCCAGTAGGGCTTTGCACAAATGCAAGAGACAAAGGCCAAGACAGAAGGAGACTCCTTGGGCTGCAGCTGTCCCTAAGGAAATGCTTCCAACAGCCTATCCCTGCAATATGAGTGTGATGTAGTGTTGGCCTAATGGACCTACCAACACATGGAGACTAAGGTTAACTGCATGGAAATCTTACTCACTGCACAGAAAAGTCTTCCAAAAATATTTTTGGTCATATTAATTTCTCCGGACTCTGAAAGAAACAGTTTTGTTTATTTTAGTATATCACTGCAGCTTAGCACACAGCTTGACACTGAAATCTTGTAACAGAAAAACACTTTCATTTCTCATTGGCTTTTTTTGCTCCTTGAGAGTCAGACTTTGAGAAGTCAGAGGATAAAGTTCAAGTAGCTGCATTTTTTTTCCTTTCTTTCTTTTTTCTTTTTCTTTTAATCTTCTGGGTGGGAGCCCATGGATAATCCATGAGAATTTGTTGTGATGAAGCTGGTTATGCAGACTGGTAACTTTCCAAATTAGCTGTGAAGCTCTGAGTGCGTGGGTTTAGGAACACCACGTGTACCTTTTTTTGTAAAGGTACTATTGAGCGTAAAGCACTTGCATTAATATCCCAGTTTCCTACCCAGGAATAAATCACTTGACATCCTTCTGCCAGAGTTGCTCATGTGTAGAGTGGAAGAAGTGTCTCTTTATGCCTCCCATACTTGGTGTGCCTTGTGGTGGTGAGATCATCTGTCAAGGACCACCTCTGACAATGGATGTGGATTAGCCTTTGCTTGGGGACTGAGGGGACTCAAGAAACAATAATGATGATAATGACCTCCAGGACCTGAACTGAGAAAAATAAAGCTATAGATGGGAGTGAGTTTGTCTGTGGTTTTGGCTTGTCTGCTGTTTGTACCATCCTATATTAGCTGGAAATCTCTCCTTGAGAAAGACCTGCTCCCTACATGCAAGGGATGCCACGGATCAGCAATAAGCATATGGATAAGCATGTGAGAAAGAGGCTTTTCCATCCTCCTGACAGCACTCTTCCCAACACAAGCCTCCTACCTCCCAAATTCACTACCAAAATTAGCACAGGTAAAAGCATATTTATACTATATTTCTACTTGGAAAATTGTAAATGTCAAAGTTCTTGGGAACTTGAGGCAGACAGCAATTGACAGCTCAGACCCAGACAGAACTTGCAACTCAACAAGGCAGGTGGTGCTGGCAGATCACAAGGCCATTTTAGCCCACTGGCTGCAAGTTTTAGGCTTGCACTGCCTGGAACATTAGGTATCCAAAGCATTTGCACTGGGTTGTAATTGCAAACACATGACCTTTGCTGCTGCTGGATAGGCCCTGTTGTCACATCTTGTTCTGAGCATTGAATTGGGGCTGAGAGGATCCTGTCAGAGATGGGAAGAGTCAGGGTCTGTTACTGAATACCTTAGTGGACCCACTTTCTTAAAATGCACCTAGCCTGATGTCCCTGTGTGGAATGAGAAAAAGTGGAAATATGCTGATTGTAGCAAGTAGAGTATTGCATCAAATAGCATTTACAAATAGTGAGCTGAATATTTTCAACGTGAGGGCATGTTTAAAATCACATTCTGTGTATGCTGGACTTTGGATGCATTACTTCCTAAGACTTATCCTGAAACTTTGAAATCTTCTCACCACTGTTCAGGGCTGCAAGATAATGTATGAATTATGCAAATGAGGCAGGGAAATGGCTATTCTTAATTACAATTTGGTTTTAATGTGGGTTGTTCAGTGTCAGTTCAGGAAGCTCATTAGTCCTCTGCATGGCCTAATGTTCCTGTTCTAAGTGTACTATCCTAAGGCAGGCGCCTCACTGCTAGAAAAGTATCATCACATTGAAGTAGTCCAGTAAAGAAGAAGAAGAACAAAACCAAATACAAAGCCTTTAAGGGTTAAATAATTTCAATCTGCAGAAGGAATAAAAATCCTGAGTATCCCAGTTTAGCTGTGTTAAAAAAGGGATGATGCTACAGACTGATGTGTGTTTGAAAGACATTTATTTGGTTTGTACCTTCTAGGACCTCCTTCTGTATATATTTCTGTGTATCAGTATAAGAAGGTAGATCAAATGCACTTGTCTAGCTTATAGCACATCACTATTTCATGCTGAGCTCAGTGACTCTCTGACCTCCAGAAGAAATTTCTTGCATATATTGCTGAATGTCACAGTTTGGTACTGTAGCCTGTGAGTGTAGGGAAGATGATATAATTCAAAGCAAGCTGGAAATGATAGAATCTGTTCCTAAAGTAGTATAGTTGGGTGAAAAAATTAACTTAATTTCCACATCTTGCTTAAATTTCATGCAATGTGTATCTAGCCCATAGGTTTTGCCCTCTTTTGAAAAGTAATACAGAAAAATCATAAAGGATTTTGCCTGTATTTAATAGCTGACATTACAGCAGCTGAAACTAGCAGTGCAGTAAATCACCCTTAGCCAAGAAAGGGTGATATGTATGGGGTCATATGTACCCTTATAGGAGAAGAAAAAATATTTATATGTTGACAAAGCACATTGTGTAAGTGTTTGGGTTTTAGAGGCCTGTATTGTAATACTAATAGGCCATGGGGAAATGCTGGCAATGCACTCCCTTGGTGAAAGAACAGGGATTAAGAGTTCATTTTGGTGGTTGGCTTGGCTGATGGGTGACAAATTAGCCCCAGTTTTCCCTGGTAAGTACTCTGAAACCCCAGTAGGGTCCTGGAGAAGAGCAGTGTGCTGGTACACATTTCAGAGGCAAGTGCTCTGAAAGGCCTGAATTTCACTTGTGAAATAATACAAACCAACAAACTCATGAGCCTGTTCCTGGAGCACTTTGCACTCCTTGTCTGGCAGTCTGTACAATGGAAGGAATGACCTATGTTTAAATGCTTACTATTTTGATTTTTTAAAAAAATTTGCTATCATAAATGCACATATGTACATTCTCCCTCCATTTGTCTAAACATGATGTAAGACCATCCATATTTCTAAGTCAAAGGGCCCCCGATTTCTTATTTTCCCACTGAGATTAAGTATCTTATATACTCAGTATGTCATAGTAGACACAAAGTAAGACTAGAAATTAGTAAGACTAGAAATTGTTTATGTTAATACAGTGCTTAAGGGCCAGAGTACCATTGTTGTATGTATTGTAATAACTTCAAGCTGTTACTTTATCAATCAGTTAAGCTGTTGTCAAGGTGATAGCTCAAAACTCTAAATTTCAAAGTCCAAAATATCACCCCACATTCAAAGGTTTCAGTACAATAATTTCTATACTCTAAATATAATATCTGTATCTGTAAAGATGTAAGCATTCGCAC